TGGGACGAGCTGGTTGTTATTGTGGACACAACACCCCAGCTCCTGCCCGAGGCGACATATGCTGCAGCCAGGGGGGTTGGGAAGCGGTTCTGCTGCCACGGGGACAACGAGCCCCAGCCCCTCCCAGACATAAGGGACCTGGCAGCAAGGAGGACCGCAGCTCAGCAGCACCCCGGACTCTGCGGGTACCACCACTCCCGCTGGCTGGGCGCGGCAGGGGTCATACCATCAGCGCATGATCCGGTTGGGGAATATTGTTTTTAAAGTCCCCCCTGTCGACAGCTTGCATCCCTGTTGGCTGCTCATGCTCCCTCCTGCAATCCTGCACACATTCTCGTGCGCTTTCTTGAAACAATCCTTGACGGCCAAACCACCACCTCTCTCTCTTGCCACGTTTTATTCGCCCGATACATGTAGTCGGCGATCATCCTCGATAGCGAGAAAACAAATGTTGGCCAAAAAGTGAATGTGCAAGAACGACGTGGTGGATGGGTCTGTATGGGTACAGGCAGACACTTGGTAAGCTTATCTTGGCATATGCTACATATAATCGTTGAGAACAAGCCACATATATAGCCCGAATGTCCCCCAAGTGTCGGTGTTTCCCCCCCGTTAACACCACGAGTCTCACGTCGGTTTTTGACTGCCCACTCACATGTGTAAACCCAACAACTCACATCCGTGTGGATGTCCTCGCCTTCTTCCCCGTCGCTCATTTCATGGCTTGATGAAGGTGCAGCAGCCGACGGCCGGCGCCTTCAGGTAAGTACATGGTGGAGAGGTGTTGCTTCTCCATAGTAGAATATCTGAAACTGAAATTGTCGAACGGAAGCTTCGGAAGTGCGGAGAAGTGATTTTGTTCTGTGCGGCCGTAGCGGCCGGTTTTGTAGGCTCGGCTCTGGCGCCGTCGTGGCTGTCGTGAAACCGTCCAAATTCATGGCAGTTGTAAGGACAATGATGGTCGAGTTCATCCCCCCCCCTGTCTTGAACGACGTATGAATATGCCGGTCTTTTTTTAGTCTTGTGCATTCGTCAAGCAAAGCAATGCGTACGACCTCGACACGGTAGCGGAGAGGGAAAACGGCGCCATTGCTAGCCGTTATTTCGAAACGGTAGTGTAGTGGGGCGTGCTCAAGTCAATTTTGCGATTTATTTTTTATTTATATTCTCACACCCATCCCATCCGGAACCGCCGCCCCCCCCCCGTCCACCCTTTTCTCACGCACCACAGGAGGGGCTCTGCAACTCGATCGGCTGCCCCGGCGGATTCACCCCCATCCCCAACGCCTGGGAGGTCGAGTGCGGCCACTCGTGCGATGTCGCCACGTGCTGCGAAGCCTTCTGCAGCTACCACGCGTGCCCCGACGGCTACATCCCCATCGAGGACGCTGGCACGACCCGTTGCACCGACGACTACTGCACCACCCCCCAATGCTGCGTTTCTGGTGAGTCTCGAGACGTGACGGCTACTCTCGGGTTTCCCGCCTTTTCTCATGCGGCCACCCCGGCCTCAGTACCATACTGCACTAAGGCATCGTTCGCCCCGGGGAGATTTGCGGCGGCTACCTCAAGATGGGTTTCATCTGTATTCCACGAAAAATGCATTACGTAGTTGGTAACGAAAATGATCGTTTCTTGCGGCATACATGAATACCGCGGCATAGGTCAAACTCGCCGAGTCCCGAGTTGGTATGGTGGCGTCCCTATCTAGAGCAAGACGTGAGACCAGAGTACTTGTTGAAAGGAGTGGTTCGTGGAACCAATGGGTACGCCTCCCCCCCCCCCCCCCCCGCTCCCGCCGGGGCCCCCCCCAGTGGGGGGTGAAAAATGAAAGGATTCCTGGGCACTCCTAAAAATTTTCAATGGCGAATTTAAGTGTTTTTTTTGTGACTGAATACAGGGAACACCCGAAAAGGGGAGCAACCGCCCCCGCCGCCGCCCCCTGCAGGCGGGCTGTACTGCAACTCGATCGGCTGCCCGGGCGGGTACACCCCCATCCCCAACGCCTGGGAGGTCGAGTGCTACGACGATTCGTGCGAGGTCTCCCAGTGCTGCGAGGCCTACTGCAGCTACTACGCGTGCCCCGACAGCTACATCCCCATCGAGGACGCCGGCACGACCCGTTGCACCGACGACTACTGCACCGCCGACCAGTGCTGCGTTTCTGGTGAGTCTCGAGTCATGGGGGTTAGTCTAGGGTTTCCTGCCTTTTCTCTTGCGGCCACCCCGGCCTCACCACAGTACAGCACTATACTCGTACCGCTCGTCCGGGGGAGGTCTGCGGCGGCTACCTCAAGATGGAGTGTGGCCTGTGGAACAAATGGGTGCCCCCCCCCCCCCCAAACCCCCC